CGTTTTTCCTTCTGAATTAAAGTACAGAGGGGCTGCAGAGGAAAGGAGGCTTGGTGTGACTAGCGGTATTTTTTTTATAAACCGACAGTTTTTACAATCACTACTCGAAATGAATTAGACGGTGGCGTATGAAAGCGTATAACCCATTGCGTACCGCGGCGTTTTTTGGCCGACCGGCGTCTGTTTAGACTCGGCCGCGTGCTGCGTGATCGGTATAAAATTTTTATTTATATCACACACATATTATATAAGCACTCTACATATATATTATATATGTGCAGTATTCCATGTTTATGTCCATTCAATGTAATCAGTTATAATCGCACGGTAAAGGGGGAAGGATAATCGAAAGTGCGGTCAACTGAAAATGTACCCTTAAGAGTATAATTGAGAAAAAATGCGACAAAAAGTGAATAAAATGATGCTGCAACTGATTGTTTTATATGTCTGAAGTTATCGTCTCTTGGGTTTTGACTTTTACTACAATTTGGCAAGAAAATTGGGAGGACGCAACTTGAATTTTTCACAACAAGTGTCAGTATTTCAAGATTTCTTCCGAATTCTCCAGTCCCACGTCTGTATGATGTTCTACGAATCTGGAATTTATTACTATGTTTATTATATAAAGCACAGACATTTCATAAATTTTCCCAACAAGCCGTGCACCATGTGCGGCACGCGGTACGCAATGGCTTAAAAGATCAAATTGGATTGTCGAAGCTAAATTGAATATTCCATAAAGGTCCGAGTGAGGCTTATTGTTGTATAATCTAGGTACTGCGACCAACTACTCAGGAAGAGCAGCAAGATGCCCGAAGAAAACGAACTCGAGGATATGCTAACGCAAGTGGTTAGTTAGGGAGGTGGCAGTGTTAATAGATGCAGGCAGTACGCTGTTTTTGTAGATGTGACGGGAGATTTTATTGCTCAAAGGTCTTTTTTATGTTCCTGAATCTAGATCACTTCCTTTGTGTTAGATTTTTTAAAAGCAACAAACTTTTTCCGAAATGCTTTCGTGAGTGCAATGTTGGATCTTCACTTCATCTTGCTATTGTATATGCAGTAATCGCGCATGTACTTTTCAGATGGTCGTCTTCAAATACATTGAAGACAAAGACGTTTTCTCCAAATTCTACACAAAGATGTTCAGCAAAAGGTATGTCGTCCCTGGTGACTCTTTTTCTGCGCTGTGACAAAATAAACGTCAGACACTAAATAGAAAAGCAAAACTTCAAGTGAAGAATCAACATGTACGAATTTTGCTGTATTGAGCAGACAATGTTTATTCAGAAAGAAAGGACATTTGCCATTAATGAATTAGGCTTTTTTTGGAGGCGTTTTTTATTGGAATTGTTCTAGGCGTAGTCCCAACTTTGATCTTCTCTTTCGAGCAGGACATTTCCATGAATGAATTCTAGTGCTACATGGATCGGTTACAGGTTGATATCTGAAACATCTGCGTCCGAGGAAGCAGAGGTGAGCCTGATCAACAAGTTGAAGCAGATGTGTGGATTCGAGTACACAAATCGATTGTCCAAAATGATAAACGATACTCAGATCAGTAAGGTGCGTTGGAATTCTTTTTTCAACTTTTGTTTTTACTTGTAACGTATTCCTTATATAATGT